AAAAGTATTGAAATAGAGGTTAATACAAAAAATGGTTATTTTATAGTTTCGTGATATAAAAAATATCTATTACAATATTTCTTAAAAGTAAGAATATCTTGGAGTAAATGATGTTTAATAGATCTAATGGTCTTAGTTGAATATATAAAAAAATAATTGACACATAATGCTTAATCTATTAAAAAGGGTGTGTTTGATGTCCTAACTTTGTGAATTAAATGATGGTATGTGAATAAAAATATAATTTGAGTTTAAACAACCATTAAAAAGTTATAAAATAATGAAGCATTGAAATAGTGTGTACATTTGAGCAGGAGGGAGAGACCGGAGACATACACGAGCAATGTTAAAATCAATTAATGCAAAGGTCACAATGTCACATGACTTAATACTTTATTGTAAAGTAGTGACCTTCAAAAAAATTCTATTAAGATTATTCTTGAATACAGATTACTTTGAATGAATTATATTTGCTTCTACATTCTTAATAAGAATAATAATTTCCTATTAATTGAAGCAAAAACTTATAGATAAAATAATTATAATTGGATAAAAGTAAGCATAAAATATCAAAATGAAACACAGTCTTCTGATGTGGAAATCAAAATGTAAACAATTAAAATAAATATTTACTAGTTTGAGAACATTCATTATTATAAAATAAAATATTTTGCCGCTAATGCCCCAGCCCACCTTACATAGGATACTTTATAATTACAAAATAACTTCTTCAGGAACAAAATGAATTGTGAGCATGACAGTATGCAAAACAATATTTTAAATTATTTTTAAATGCACTTTTGATATAGGTTTGGAGTCACACTGTTGATTTATTCTTACTTAAAATAAGAAAAATAATTGTTGTCATTTGCAAAGTAGTATAATTTTCAATTCTTAATAATTTTAAGAAACTATTTCTGTATAGCAGAAGTTACTATCTTATTTAAATATAAGAGGCAAACTATTTCAGTTTTTTCCAATGCAATATATCATTAACAAGATCTAAAAAGCATTGTGAAGACACTTCTTTGAGGTTCACTTACTCAGCAGTATGTAAATCAAAAACACACAACACCTTAATTTGCTGAGAAAATTTATATTCGAATATCTTAGCCTGATGATGGCCAACAGATTTGGCTGAAAACGTTTGCTTTCTCATTAAATTTTCTCAGCAAATTAAGGTGTGTTTTTTTTGACATTTCTTTGTTTCTAAAACAAGTTCTTATGTAATTTTTGAACTAAAAGAGAATCATTTCACATTAAATAATGACCATTACAGTGAATTATTACAAATCACAGTGAATTATTAGTTTTGATATTTGATATTAATACTAATTAATTTTGTAATTCTATTCTACATACTGTATATATATATATATATATGTATGTATGTATGTCTGTATTAATAGAGTAAATTTTCATTTAACTCAAAGTTAAATATCATATTTTGTGTGTATAATCTATAGATTATCTGTTTGAAAGAAAGTGCAGGTTATCTGATGGAGTGAGTTATATACCAGTTATAAAGTATAATTATGAATTCATCCCTACAGATGAATGATGACTGCAATAGGCAGAAGGTATATGACAAGTCAGATTATGAAAAGGTTTAATTTTCAATCTAGCAACTTTCTGCAAGTATAAACCATTGTGGGTTATATGCATGAAAATACAGTATTGGAAGGCTCTAATTAATTTAAATTTTGTTGACATTTTCTAGTTATTGATTATTAAATTAAATTAAATTTGAAATTGTAATGCAAATTAAACTTTGCATAAATGCAGGAAGAATTATTTGTTTGATGATTATTAAAAATGTATTTTGCATATTTTAAGTTATTTTCGTCAAAAATAACTTCAGACAGACATTATATCTGAACCATAGAGAGAACCTACAGGTTATTCTATTGTATTTTGCATTTTGATTGATTGATTGATCTTGATATCAATTGTGTGTTCTTTTCTCTATAATACAAAATACGGTGGGTGATTGGTTAATGAACAAATTGGATAATGAACACTTTTGTGAAAGATTTTTATGTTCAGACAATGAACACCTCACAAAACAAACACAAGATGAAGCCACATAAAATAATAAATACTGATCAGTCTTCCCTTGTCTTTGGGCAACAATTCGAAACTTTTTGCAGTGCGAGAGACATCGACATTGACACTCACCCGGTATATACTGATCAGATAGTATTTCTCTGAACTTTGAAACTCTCCCTTTTAATTCCAGCTTTTTATTTTTCTGACAGAAACAATTCTTTTATAGTATTTTCAAGACTGTTGGGCAGGCACTCATTAAGTTTTGTGTCAGTTTTTATTTTTGAAATGTGAGAGTATAATAGCACAGGTAGAGAGTGGGCAGATGATGTCTGATGTTGCTGGGCAGTATGGCTCGAACAGGTCTACAGTAGGCCACAGTTCAATCTTATTTGAGAAATATACAGTAGAATCGAGAAGATTCAAGCAGCTAAAAGAGTAACAAAAATCACATCTGAGAAACAAAGAACATTGAAGAGCTCATAATGGAACCTGAAATGGATCTGATGACAGAAGAACGCCAAGAACTCTTGAATGAAGAACATGAAGAAACTTGGCGAGATATGTTTTTTTCTGAAAAAGAGGATTAATGCTGATATCTGCTATTAAAGGTCTTTTGAAGAAGTGGGAGGATGTCAGAGCAACGGTCTTAGAATGGTATCCAAACCAGATTGAGCTTAATAGACTTGGGAATCTCTACAATTATAATGCTATTAATTATTTCTGAAAAATCCTGAAGAAGAGAGAAAAGCAATTGACATTAGACAGATTCTTTAACCCTCACAAAAGGAAAAAACATGACTAATAAAAATACAAGACTGTATATATGTATTTTTATTATTACATATAAATAAATGTAGTAAGAAAGTATATATTTTTTTATTTTTGGGGGTCTCCAGAACGAATTAATCAAATTCCCATAAAAACCTATGGTAAATCGATAATCGGTTAATGAACAATTTGGATAACGAACAAAGTCTTGGAACAGATTATGTTTGTTAACCGATCACCCACTTTATACAGGAAGTCCTCAACTTACGTGAATTCTTAGAATAGGTAGAACTTTTATTCTGGGTGACTTACAGACAATAACACCATCTGTTAAGTGCAACATTGAAATACAGTCGACCCCCCTATAAGATAGAGATACGTTCCATTCTCTAGGAATCCGCTTTCTTACGAATCCCTCCAATCACAACCAGACATGTATCAAGTTTACGGACTACGGCTGTTTGAAAGATTTTCTTCCATAAAATTAATCGATTCTAGACTAATCCGACTCAACATTTCCAAAATACGTATATAATTTTTGGGAATAATCCGTATAAACTACGCTATAAACAAAAAATTGTAGGATTACTTACCGAGTGTCACCATTCGACATTGCCATTGCTCAACATTGTTTTCGTCGCGGAACAGCTCAGCAAAGAGCGGCCGATTTCTAACAACTTATTTTTCTGTGAAAACTTCGTAGAACTTCGGAGACATCATTAATATAAATAATTTTAATCGCCGTTGAATAAGAAATGTTTCTTTNACAGTTCAATCTTATTTGAGAAATATACAGTAGAATCGAGAAGATTCAAGCAGCTAAAAGAGTAACAAAAATCACATCTGAGAAACAAAGAACATTGAAGAGCTCATAATGGAACCTGAAATGGATCTGATGACAGAAGAACGCCAAGAACTCTTGAATGAAGAACATGAAGAAACTTGGTGAGATATGTTTTTTTCTGAAAAAGAGGATTAATGCTGATATCTGCTATTAAAGGTCTTTTGAAGAAGTGGGAGGATGTCAGAGCAACGGTCTTAGAATGGTATCCAAACCAGATTGAGCTTAATAGACTTGGGAATCTCTACAATTATAATGCTATTAATTATTTCTGAAAAATCCTGAAGAAGAGAGAAAAGCAATTGACATTAGACAGATTCTTTAACCCTCACAAAAGGAAAAAACATGACTAATAAAAATACAAGACTGTATATATGTATTTTTATTATTACATATAAATAAATGTAGTAAGAAAGTATATATTTTTTTATTTTTGGGGGTCTCCAGAACGAATTAATCAAATTCCCATAAAAACCTATGGTAAATCGATAATCGGTTAATGAACAATTTGGATAACGAACAAAGTCTTGGAACAGATTATGTTTGTTAACCGATCACCCACTTTATACAGGAAGTCCTCAACTTACGTGAATTCTTAGAATAGGTAGAACTTTTATTCTGGGTGACTTACAGACAATAACACCATCTGTTAAGTGCAACATTGAAATACAGTCGACCCCCCTATAAGATAGAGATACGTTCCATTCTCTAGGAATCCGCTTTCTTACGAATCCCTCCAATCACAACCAGACATGTATCAAGTTAGGGAAAGTAGTTCGGCTTCCCGATGACGTTTGAGGTGTTTATAGGGAACTTTTACTATTTTTTACAGATACCAGTAGCAATTTTTTCGTAGTTTTATAGGAATCGTAACTATAGGGACCGTAATTATAGGGGGGTCGACTGTACATAGATGGTGAAAACATTGAAAAATAAAAACATATTTTTTAAATATTTTCATAAACAGAAGATATTTAGCTTTAATTAGTCTTCAAAATGAATATATGAATACACAATTATTTAAACATGTTAAATATAAAAACCTTGAGTACAAAATTAACTAATAGATAAATAAAAAATGTAAGATATTACAAATGCAAATAAAGTATAGATTAATATGTGAACAAATAAATAACAGCCCCCATACATATATATTGTCGAAATAACATCATATGCTTAAGGATAGTCACATTTGGGGATTGAAATTTTATTAATATAGTTTATTTTAAGATTTATCAATAGGTTAATTTTGTACCAAGTGGTTTTTGTATTTAAATGTTAAATTCAAATTAATCCACAAGGCATTCTATATTGTAGTGTTTAATTTTATTGATGTTCTGTAGTTATAATCTGAAGATGGCTGTTAAAAGCAGCCAAAAATGTTTGTTTCATTAAAAATTGTCTGCTAGATCAAAAAGGTTTTTGAATAGAATTATTAACTGAATACTTGCAAGTTGTACTTACTTTACAATAGTGAAAGATGATAAAATATATTAAATGCACTCAAGGCACAATATATGACCTGTAAAAATGTTGCAAGAAAGATACAATAAAAATTAATTTATTCACAGGATAAACATCCTAATAAAGATGATATGATGGTTTTAAAAAATCAGCAGTAATCAAGAAACAAGTAAAACTGATGAAACTAAATTATGGTTGAAAACAGCAATTAGACAGAAAGATCTCTGGCTTGAAATGGGAATCCATCGAAAAACAAAAAGACCATCTATTAAAGGAAATGACCTTCCTGCTAATGGATAGTTGATAATCTGATACTTCTTTCTCGGTAAGATGCAAGGTAAATGCTTCGAAAGGATCTAACAGTTTCAATGAAAAAAATCTCAAATAAAGTGAATTATGGTGATTTTAAAAATTTTATTGCAAAAATGAACTTTTTAAAATTAATATTATTAAAGTTGTAAACATAAATTTGTGGAAACCATATTTTCCAAGAAAGAAAAGAAAAATTAGCAGAAAACCTAGCATAATATGTAGGACAAAGTGGATATGATATCAAAATAGTAAATAAAAACTAAAATTAGTGCTTGCTGTTAGAATAACAATCATTAATTGCACTAAACTGGAACGATTTAAAAGTTAAAATTTTTGCTAAAGAATTAAGATGTATTTATTTGTCATTTAGAATAACAATACTGTAAAATATAAGATCAGTATAACGTTGTTTCTAAAAAAAATATATTGAATATTAAAAAATCACTGTGACTGCTTTCATAATAGTGCATCAATATTAAAATGCATTAGAGTTGCCGAGTCGAAACAATAAATTTCTATAATTAAATTCTAAAATAATAAATTTGGACAATTTATTTTTTACTCATAATATAGCTGATCCAAAGTCAAGTTAATTTTTATTTATTTAATTTCTGATTGGGGTAAAGTGTTGAATTTGTTGTATTCAAATATAGCTTTATTATTCCTGTAAAAAAAAGATGAAACTGTTTGCTTACTTCTAAGCTGTTATTTATCAAATAATTTATGCGGTAATGCTATTTTATGTGTTTATTATATATATATATTTTTTTTTAGTTAAGATCTATAGTATTTTTATACCTGAGCTAATTAGTCACTGATATTTTGATGATACAACAAAACATCTAATCACTATATTGTTATCATATAATCTCAGTTTAGCATTTTCTTTTGGTGTAATCAAAAGAGAATTGATATTGTATGGAATGTGAGTTAAAATTTATTTATGAATACTTTCATATTTTAATCTCATTAGTTTAATATTTAATTGTGTAGCTTTATTTTTTAATAGAAGATCAAAGAAATTATTGATTATATTTTGCATAGATGTTAAAATAGAAGCTGCGAATACAGAAATTCAGACGCTAATGAAAACTTTAAAAACAGCAAAAACAATTTAATTATGAATGTTTTTGGTCATTTTTAAAGACTATCTTTGGATAGAATACACAAAATTGAAGGATGGTCTTTAAAAATGACCAAAAGTGTTTGTAATTAAATTGTTTTGCTGTTTTTAAAGGTTTCACGAGAGTCTGAATTTGCATAGATGTTACTCACTTAGAAGATGAATTCATTTTTAAGAAAATATTTCAGCACATGATTTATTTTCACATTATTCAGTTTGAAATTTAAATTTATCTGAATCATATTATCTTCATTTAATATCAGATTAAAATATTTGTCTTAAAAATGACTTGATTTAGATAAAATTTTTCCAATTCGTTATTCTAACTTAGAAACGTGTTCATCACAAAATAGTGATAACAGAAATTTCATTTGTATTTAAATATTACCAGTACACTATTAGGATAATTGACCTCTCTTTACTGGAGTATTGAAAAAATCTAGAAAAATTGGAATTAATAAATATCTCCAGATTTCCTTGTAATTGGAAAAATTTGATATTGTATTTTATACTTTATCAGCTTATAGGATTTACAGTTAAATATGTATTTAATATGAAAGTGTCTATGAAATTAACTGATACAGTTTTATATGAAATACTAAAAATATCAGTTTATTTAATTAAGCTATTGTTTCTTGATTTTTTTTTTCTTTTATACAGAACATTTCTATAAACCTATATGTGAGATCCGACCTGTGTGCAACCCAAATTTTTTTCCTTTTTAAATTTTAAACAAATTTAACATATTTTAAATAAATTTATCTCCTTACTGTGAAAAAACCCCCCATTGTCAGAAAAAGAAATCAATTATCTTACTTATATAAGAATATCAAGTATCAACTTACAATTCTCCTCTTTAATGTAAACATTCAACCATCTAACAATAGCATTCGTCTGCCACAAGACTTACTGTTTGCAGTTAAAGTCCAACTTTGACAATTTATTGCAGGCCGGGACCACCTTTAACCCACACCTGCTAAAACAATTGGTCACCTGACTAATTTTCCCATCACAAAAAAGTATAAAAAGCGTCCTTCCCCTCTCGGGGGAGTCGCTGATCGGAAATTGCTCGAAGTTCATCGGAAGCCGTCGAATACTGCGATCTCACCAGACCTATTCCGAACCCGGTAGGACCTGTGCCAATTTACCAAATTTGCTGGAGAATTATCAGATAGTCTCTCAGGAGGTATGAAAGCTTCATTGGAAACTCTCTCTTTCATACGCATATTAGAAGGAGACTTGTAATCTTTAATTTCGTTAGTTAGTAAAATAAACTTATGTTTTGTTTAAAATGGTGTTTTAGTCGACTGTATCATCATCTTATCATCGACCCCTCTGACTCTCCTCCACTCGCGTAACGCGTAACAGAATGTAAAAGCCATCATTGACAAGAAAGTAGGTCACCGACCTGTGGCCGGACAGGAGAGGCTTTTCCAACCTCCCCGGCGGCTCACATATATGTCAGAGAGCTGCAGAGCTAGTATACAAAACTACCAGCTCTCATTTTCACATTTGGTGTAGATACAGCATTCTTTTTTATGAGGGCATATTTATCATTATTGAATTTTCTTGTAAAATTAATTTTATGAGGTGGAAAAAATTCTGGAGATATAAACACTATCCAAGTGGAATATTAATCAAATAATAATATGTTCATATTATTTAGCCTATGGTAAAATTGATTTTGTGTTATATACTGCCTCACTGCATGAAGATTTTGTTGCACCATTATGAAAATTTCAGGATATGTTCAAGTGAACAAGTCATGGAAACTGATGCTATTTTTGGCCAATCACATAATGTGGGAACATGATAAAAGGGTAAAATCAGTCTGTGCAAACTTTGGAGTCGTCATCATGCTCACAGAAATTGCTTTGTGTCATTGTTTTTCATGTTGGGATAAAGACTGAGGAGTGAAGATGCCTCTAAGACACCATCAAGAGCCATTTCATCAAACAGACAAGTTCACTAAAGGTTTCATCATAGGGCTACATAACAATCTAAGTGGTCTTTGTTATATTGCAACATTGTAACTCAATGGAATGCCACAACCGTAGGTTGAATTTGGAGATGGTAGTCAACAGAGTGAAATGTGTATCATCATAGTGGGACTGGAGCACTGAGATGGATGTCACAATGCACAGATCAATGAATCCACAGTCTACAACTGGCAACATTCTGTGGTGTTTGGATAGATTTGAATTCTCCAATATTAATAGTGACCGTTTCTCTTAGATCAGCTGAGGTAGGTTTGTGGTCAAGCCATCCATTGCAAAGATTACCCCTCACACCATACTATTGTCGTGAATGCTTGCAGTGATGTCACTCCAAAGCTACCTTGTCACAGATGGCACAGTGTGGTGTTCAACAATGATTATTAAGTGAGGGTCTAGAGGCAATATGGCAATTAAGCTGATTCTTCTGCCATTTTGGAACACTACACAGCTTGTCAACTGAGATTTGAACTTTGGGATACCAATTCAGTTCAATATTTTTTATTGCTGTACAAGGTAGTACAACACCGGTACCGCATGTAGCACAACCGGTTAATCACTTCTAGTACGCATCAGGGGTACATTGATGGTATGATGTTATGTTGATGAGGTGCTGCAGCCTGCCACACCATCATAGCTTCATGTGTATCCAATTCCAGCAGTATAACTTGCAACTGCACAAGCATGCTTTTCAAGGTGTATAGGAGATTTCTTGGTCAGAACAATTTCCAATTATCTTCAGTTGAGAATCTGTGGGACATGATGGGATGACTTTGGTCAATACCACATGGTCAACACTATCCAAGGACTGATAAGGAGTTGAATTTAAATTTTAAAAAAAAGATAAATAAAAACATACATTCAAATGTAGAAAAAATAGCAAAGTAAAATCAGATGCTAGCTCCTTAAATTAAAATAGTCCTTGGAAAAACAATGATAAAATGTTTTCAAGATTAAATCTCATTATCAGATCAAGCATTGTAAAGAAGAAATTTTTAAAAATGGAACAAAACCATCTCTCAAAGACTTTGGAATTTTGCCAAAATATTGAAAATTAAAATGACAGGAATGTATGAGAGAGATATTTCAATTTCTGTGAGGAAGTAGGCTAGTATTTGATGATACTAAAGAAATAGGAATAAAATTTTCCACAAATACTTTCATCTTTAATTTAAGTAGAAGTATTTTTAAGCTACATAATTTCTTAAAATCAAAGCACTTTTGTTCTAATAAATCTTGTAATTTGAAATTAAAACTAAAAATATTTTGAAAATTTTAATTATTCTATCACTATTAATGCAGTATTTCATAATACTTAAACAAATGTAACGTTTCATAATAATTATTATGAAACGTTACGTTTGTTTCCTCTTTTTTGAGTAATTTTTTTACCCAAATTTATAACCTTCATTCAACATAGGGAAAAAGTGAATGATAAAATGGAATGGGTTGATACTTTAAATAAAGTACTTACTTGTTAGATGTTAAAATTTCATTATCATCTGATTTGTGGCATAATTATAATAGATTGTAGGATTTCATTGATAAAATATATAAAAAGTAAGACATTTTTTTCCCATTTCTTCTTTGGTATAACTTTTTAAATCACACAGCTGTAATTTTCTTGGTAAAATATAGTTTCTTGATAATATAAATTAAGTTTAACAAAAATAAAATATGCATTTCATTTTTAACTTTCATTTTTTAATTAAAAAAATCCTTTAGTTAAATAGAATAATTGAATTTAGTGTCAAATTTTTAGAATTTCAGTTTGACACAAATATTTCTACTCAATTTGAATAGAGTAATAATCTCAGAAATATATAAAACTTATTGTAAAATTAAAAATAATTACTATTAAATGTAATATCTTTACAGTAAATAATGTTACTTTTA